TTCAATCTGAAATTCAGTCAAAACCAAGTCTAAATCTTCATCAAAACCCCTCAAAATTGAGATATAAACTCCAAAACATATTCCCAATTATTTACAACAACACCCAATCAAAACAAATAATGATTTTTGAAAACCTAAATTTGAATTCAAAGCTTCAAAGCTTTTTAGTGGCTGTCAATGGTGGAATTGCTGCTCTCTTATCTCTTTGAAGGTTTGTTCTTCTTCATTGAGAAAATTTGAAGCTGAAGGTAAATGTGTGTATGAACTTTGAAGATTTGACTTCAATTTTGATGAACTTTGTGGTTCTTCATTGATGAACTTCCACCGGAGTAAAATGGGAACCAACTTTGTTGAAGGGTTTCTTCATTTTTCTGTGAATTTAGAGGGAGAATTTGGTTTCATAAGATGGAAAATGGTAAAAAGAACGTGGGTATAGGTAAAACGTGGGTGGGACTGAGGGATTAGGAGAGAGAAACGTGCAGATTCCTTTAATTAAGGAGTAAAAAATGTACAATTAATTATACCCTTAATTAATTATGGTATAGAATTGATAATTTGGTATACTAAGTGTAATTAAGTCAAACCTTAAACATTGATGGTAATAAGATTTCCTATGTGGCATATGAATGTAAAATTCCGTGTCATTACCTAAGACAACCAACTTACAACACGTAAATATCAATTTTAAGTTTTTTGCAAAGCAGTACACATGGTCCTGACTCTTGAGCTATATATAATTTACCACAAATAAATTTCTTTTAATAATAATTTAGTGATTAAGGGTATCGTTTGTTTAACTTGATAATGATACTAATTCTCTTTTCTTTTATGGTTAAGAGAATCCTATATTATTATCATCTTGTGGTCTACAAGAAAATTAAAAAATAGAATTTGGTTAGTTAGCATAACGATTATCCGATACTTTCCTTATAGTGGAAAGGCAAAAGAAATAATGAAAAGAAGACTTTAGTGATTCAAATTTGATAGTGAATAAAATGTTGCCACCTTTTCAGGGACATATTGAAAACAACTTTATTAATTGAAGGAAATAAAAAGAGAAAGAACTTCATTGAAAAAGCGATATCAATAATTCATGGTAGACCATGGACCCAAGGAAACATCAACTTTTCCAGCATCCAACCATTAGTTTGCCACTTACTCGGATTAGGAAAAATATTCACACGTAAAAATATGGGTAAGGCCAGTCCAATACACAAAGCATTTTGTCACGTAAAATACAGGTAAGGACAGTTCAATACACAAAGCATCTTGTCACGTAAAACACAGGTAAGGACAGTTCAATACACAAAGCATTTCATCTCGTAAAACACATGTAAGGACAGTCCAATACACAAAGCATCTCGCGTTCATGCAAAGTTCGGAGAAAAGTTACGCCTAAAGGTGTGATTTCAACAGCCTACCCTAATGCAAGCGTTGTTGCTTTCACGGTTTGAACACGTGAGTTAAAGGTCACATGAATATAACTTTA